GAAAGGAGCCCCTGGGAGACTAGCGATTCAGAACCTGTGGAAATCTAGACTTGCTTTATTTAGGGCTTTAGCACTGCAGAGAAGGCTTAGAAGCAGGGGAAATAATGTGGTTCAGGGACTGTGAGACAGACTACAAGTGAGATAAAGTGCTATTCTGTTGGGACAGCTAGGGACACTTGCAAGGACAAAGGGGCAGCTCATCGCCCTTTTGTTCACCACTCACAAGATTTGCCAACACCGCAGACTAAGCGTAACTGATACTGGCAACAAGTGCGAGAGCAGCTTAATCAGCCATGTAAGCTTGCGTAATACCGCTTTCTTAGTCAGGCTCTTTTGATGATAAGAATACTGAGGTCACGTGAACGTTGATTTCAAACGTACTAAAATGTGTGAAAATGAAATTACATGAACCAAGTAATTCACATAATGGAAACAAATGACCATCTTGTTTGAGCACAGGTAACATGAAGGTGTATGAACCGTTCATATACATACCCCTGAAATCTGGTATGATACATAAATATCTAAGGTGTGTAAACATTTGCACATGTGTAAATATACAAGTGTTTCCCCGCCTAAGTAAATTTACATGTTTCCAACCTGGGTAAACTTAGAACGAAATCGGAAATTTCAGCACCCATTGAAATTCAAAGGAATGCATCGGAAATACTGTATGATCATGTATTTACCGGGGTATCTGTTTTGCAATTCATGTTTGGAAATGCCTGACAATCCGGTCATGGCATACATGAACGAGGTACTTCTGCATACGAAAATTTACGATGAGCATATGTTTCAAAGGTATAGATTCATATGAAATATATGCCCGAAGTTAGGAAATATCTGAAAACGTGCGTAAATCCGGTCATGGCATGTATTTCCTACTATATTTACGTTTATTTCAATGGTTTACTATCCGGTTTTTTGGTCCTGTGGAGAAGGTTTTACAGTTGTTGACATCAGTAGCGATTTTTTTCTGAAATGTCCGTAAACAAAACGAGGGTACTCATCTATATTTGTCTGATTCAGTTTTATGCCTGCCGCCATATAACTGGAATGTTGCTGAGTGCGGCGTAAAACTAAACTCACTCACTCACTCACTGTTTTATGCATTGAATGGTTTATGCATTGAATGCATTATATATTCATTCAGCCACTTATTGTAGATGGGATAACCTTAAATGTGACCATCTCATCTGTTCCCATCATTACTGCTATCTTTGGGGACCCGTGAAGATCCGGGGTAGAATAGGTCTTCAGCAACCCATGTGCTTGCCATAACAAGGCGACTATCTTGTCGTAAGAGGCGACTAACGGGATCGGGTGGTCAGTTTCGCTGACTTGGTTGACAAATGTCATCGGTTCCCAATTGCGCAGATCGATGCTCATGCTGTTGATCACTGGATTGTCTGGTCCAGACTCGATTATTTACAGACCGCCGCCATATAGCTGGAATATTGCTGAGTGCGGCGTAAAACTAAACTCACTCACTCACTCACTCACTGTGATCTTTGGGACATGTCAGCACCGTCAGCCAAATAATCACTGAATGTGGGTACGTGATCTCCTCGGTTACACCCCGACAGCAACACACCAACACACTAAAGAATTGATAATTTAACCAAATAGCTGAACATATTATCAAACAGTGTCGTTGGAGATGGTCAAATATGCTATACCTAATCACATATGAAAAGTGATGTTTGTATGACGGATTGTCATAAAATGGTCGTTTAGCAAATGATGATTCCACTGTGTGTACCCTGTACACCATTCGTAACTACTCGCCTCTTTCCGTGGGCTACAATGACACGAGTAGTTACGAATGCCTGTACACAGTAACAAGGAGGGCGTCACATCAAACGAGAGAACAGCCAACTCGGAGGAAACTGACATGGATGAATGCATGTGCAGCGATATATTATCCTGAGCGTAACGCACTCACTTACTGAACTGAACTGAACTTTATTTACACTCCGGACGCGTTCTGCGGCATGAAATATAAAGTGGACATATATACATATCGCTTGGTTGCATGAATAAACTGTCTGTACATACATTTGACCAGTTAAATGAACAATATTACACATATACGTTATTGGTTATCTTTTGTGGTGGCGTTGCTTAAAATGAGACCTTATTATTTTGCAAAATATTGCTAATTTCCTAATTGTTCCTAGTATGTTAGAGTGAACAAGCTGGTTCATTTTGTGCATGTTCGGGTTTCTACAGAAATAGTTGTTGATATATTTTGTCCTTTCTTGGGCTAAGGTAGGTCAAATGAACAAAACGTGAAATTCATCACCAATATCGTTTGCATTACAGATGGTACATAATCTTTCATTTGGGGATGTTTTCGATTATTTCAAAGCAGAATTTCGTCAAGGTAGAGCATTTTGTGCAATAAATACATATATGAAACGTCTTTCTAATAAGAAAGTAAGATTGTTTATGAATAACAACTTCTTTTATTATATATGATGCGACGTTTCGGTATGGATCCTTACACCGTTGTCAAGCAAGAGTGAAGTACTACAGCACAGAACAGACATATATACATGAACAGGGATTAAGTAACATGTTGTTATTACTTTATCCCTGTTCATGTCTGTATGAAGTCTGAGTTTAGTTTTGCCGCACTAGCAATATTCCAGCTATGGCGGCGGTTCAAATAATCGTCTTTCTCCAGTGATCAACAGCACTAGGTCTGTGAACTGATGAAATACAGTGAAACAAGATCCCGTTAATCTACGACAGTTCAAGCACATGGGTTGCTGAGACCTAGGATATTTACGGGTGAGTCTGGCTATCGTTCACGTCGTTCTGGTGCACCAGGTTCAATAACTTAATATATTTGAGTTGTATGTTTGAGTATTGTTTGTTACTATCAAAATTATATACATTCAGAGACTAAGCGTTAGTCTACTTTTCCCCCAAATTCCCACCCAACTGCAGAACACTATATTTGTAAATGTTAGTTTACATCGAAGTAATTAAATCTGGCTTGAGACTGCTTTAAAAAACTAGTTTACATATATCACACCGCGTCGGAGAAGAGGCAAAGCGAGACACATAGAAACGAGCCGTGAGGCTGTGCGTTCGTTTACCCCAACATGCTTCACTGAACAAGCAACTGAATATAACCAATGCAGTATGCGTCTTTGTGAACGGGAACAAACTATGCTATAGGTTAACCTGACCTTACTGTGAGTTTGTCGTAGCGGGAAAGTAGGTCAGGTTGATTTATGTGCGTGTCTCTGTCCTCAGCGTAGTGGCTATTGTGATTGTTGTCGTTCGGGACTTGGCACGTCGCGCGAGATCGACACGTTCATTCACATCGGCAGCCTTTCAGTTCGCATGTTCAGTGAACTGAGCAGTATGGCAGTTATCGTATGCCCTTGCATATTATAATAATATGTGCATTATTACAGCACATCTGTTCACAAAGTAGCATGCTGTGTGCGCTGCTCAGACAAGGTGAATGTAAGAGAAAAGTCTTTTGAAAGAGATAAGTCTTTAGATTATTTTTATTTGAAGGAAGGAACGGTTTGCAGCTATCGTTTTTGAGGGATGTTGGCGGGTGATTCCACAAGGTTGAAATGTTTCAGAGGAGACATGTGGAACACATTACCAAATTTGACATAGCTCAGTGACCAAATGTATGGCCGTTGCATTTCTTTGATTTTTATCATATATTCCCGTGTGTTTTTCTGGTGGACAATTCACATGCCTTTGTGTTACTCTGGAGGCAGGACACGCTCACCGAAATGCAACGCCCAATTTCATGTTAATTTTGATGTAGCGCGAATGAGTACATTCATACTATTCTCCTCAGATATATTATCAACTTAATTGTACTAATCCATTAACTTTCAGGAGGAAATGTCTTGCCTGGACAATATATACTTTTATTTTATGAGTGGGTGACTTTTTTAGCAGCTTTTAGCAATATTTTGGCAACATCACGGCGGGGAACACCAGAAATGGACTTCACACACTGAACCCATGTGGGGAATTAAACCCGGGTCTTCGGCGTGACGAGCGACCGCTTTGAGCACTAGGCTAGCCACAGCCCCTGCTCAAAGGAAATACTTAAAAAAAGGAAACAGGATACACCGGTGGACGATCTGGTCCCTGTATTACGAAGCAATGCAACCACTACGGCGGCCGGGTTAGACTTACGATCGCTTTGTGGACTGACTGACTGAGTTTGGTTTTACGCTGTTTTTAGCAATATTCCAGCAACATCACGGCGAGGGAAACCAGAAATGGGCTTCTCACATTGTACCCATGTGGGGATTCGAGCCCGGGTCTTCGGCGTGACGAGCCAACGTTTTAACCACTAGGCTACCCCACCGCCCCTCGCTTTGTGGAAGGTGAATTGAAGCAAAGTGGGTTATTCTGGAATATAGCGAGATACAGGTATACAAAGTACATGGACTGGATTACCAGTTGCCGGGCTTTCATATTTTGTTTTTGAAGGCACGGTGGCTGAGTGGGTAAGATCGCAGAATTTGTGTGGTGACTAATTGGTGCCTTACTGGTGAGAGTGTGAAGGCGAATCCCTGTACGTAATAGAATCATCACTTTACTGAGAAAGTATAATCCCAACTATAACATTTGTGGCATTAGATCACTTTCTATATGATAACGTGCATGTACAGCTTTCGGCCTTCGGAGCAGCTCCAGTTACCTTATGTCAGGGGGCTACACAAAGTATGCACACTAGGCTACCAGTCTTAATTTCATTTTTGAAGAAGCCATCGGATGTTAGATCGCATTGTCACATTGGACAACGTTCTGAAGTGTATTCAAAGGTACGATCCGTTTGAGTAACGTAGCATCACAAGTGAACTTGTGTGAGATGAATCAATCGCTCAATCAGTAGGATAAACAGTCACGTGACAAATTTGCACGTGTCTCACGCTTAAATGGCTGTCACCTGAGCTGTCGCTACATCCTTGTCACAAATCGTGATAAAGCAAATGAAAACAATGATAGCTTGTTAAACGACTTTTCTATTTTGTAGACAAAATTTATGACACAATTCTGCAGGATTGGTGTGTATTTCCTATTTACCTTTCCGTTGGTTTGGGTAATTTACGATTCTTTGTTTTTGAGTTAGAGTGCAATTCATTGGGGGAGATTTTGACTCAAACGGACTACATATCTGTCGTTTTGTTTATCAGAAATATTCCCACCATGACGGCGGTCTGTTGATAATCGAGTCTGGACCAGACAACCCAGTGACCAATAGCATGAACATCGATCTACGTAACTGGGATACGATGACATGTGTCAAACAAGCCAGCGATCCACTTACGACAAGCATGTTTTGTTCAATTCTACTTTGTACCCGGATCTTCACCGGTTATATCTGTTGTTAAACCAGCAGGCCATGGCAATATTGTGGTAAAACAGAAAAGCTCTCGATATGAATTAGTTACACTGTGATGTTAACAAAGCAAATAGTCATAGATATTTCATATGTTATTCCATTTCTGAATTCTCCTGAAGAGAAAAAATACAAACAAACAAAAATGTTGTTTTTGAATATTCCATAATTGTATCATGAAGATGCGTTAACTATTCTTTCTGTCGCACATTTCGACCGATCATGTATTGGCAAGGCAACTGATGAGGTAGCATTGGTGTCATTGCTGCATTGGCAGCCACCTTGTGGAGCGGAGCTCTTTGAACGTCAACTCAGACTTGCTGTGGATATCACCCATCCTATCACTTTGGAGACTCTTCAATAGCCTCTTGAACTTCCTCAGACTTGTCAATATTTTGCATCTGTTGCGATGGTTTCCCAAAGATTCCCACCAAGGCACCAAAGAATGCCCCAAGCAGGAGAATAGTTCCTGCAAAACCAAAAACAGCTTTGTACGTTTCCAATCAAGTGGTCAAGAGAAACCATTTTTGAATCATTATCACTTCTAGGTTTGTTAGTTATTTGGTTTGGCACTATGTGACGTGGCTGCAGTTCCGCATTCAGATTGCATGCATAATCAATGCCAGGATTCTACAAACCAACCAAAACGATTCCGAGAAACTAACACAAATGTTTATATACACATGAAAAAAAGCATTGCTTATGATTTTAATGCTCATTTTAAATTCAAATCGTAAGTATGTTGTATGAGTATTTGCAACCATCGGGCACAACGATACATTGTTTTAAGATATGTACTTGCTACGATCAAATATGTACATCATAGATTTTAATTATTTCCTTTTCTATTGTTAATGGCAGCATGTTAAGTCTGGGAATACTATCGGGTGTTGCCATACATTAAAAGCTTAGAAGTATCAGGTTTTCAATCATCGAAATACTTTATTTTGAATCACATATTTTAAATATATTTTGGAAATTACGTTATTTTTCTCAGTGTTCTAAGTGATTTATTGAATTTACCTGCAAATACGAACGTAAAGTCATAACGCCTTGTCGCTGAATATATGAAACCTGAAATGGAGAAGTTTTCCAAAAGTTAATGCAAATGGGCAAAATGGCCATTCGTAACATAGGTTATCAGATAACAGCAGCTAATCAGCGTTTATGATACAATATCCACCTGGTTTAGGTCAACCTGAATCATCCACTTAGACTTGTGCTTTCACGACTGCCACGTGTTCTCTGAGTGTCACAAGATAAAATCAAATAAAAAGAATCATATTCTGTTTTCAGAGGTCTCTTAATGGTTGCAAAAAAATGCGTATTCATTTCCATTTGATTTTTTCAAATAAAATATAATATGACGAGAAAGGTCAAAATTATATGAAAGGAAAATACTAACTTGAAAGAGGAGGGCCAGCGAAGAAACCAATTCCACGAAAGAAGTTCCCGATGCCCGATCCAATAGCTAAATGCTTCAAGCCCATTAGTTCTATGGTTATTGGGCAGATAAGAGTGTTAAGACCACCACTATACAGCCCATATGCAGCACTAAATGTCATCTGAAGAACGTAGGTGTTTGAGTAAAGAGGAAAACACAGTGTTAGGAGTCCAGACATTCCCAAAAGTCCCATGTGAAGTGTCACATAATCCACCGAGGCATCACTTCCAGCAAACCCTGTCAGGAGCCTAGAAATGACACTTCCCACCCCCATGACCGTGAACAGACTAGCTGCTTGAGTTTCTGTACTGCCTTTATGTTCGGCATAGTTGGGAAGGTGGAACAGACATGCTCCTTCCCCGAGTGCCCAGAACAGAAAACTAAGACAGTAGCTGATGAATCCATATTTGTTTAGTATAGTTATTCTCCTTATGCGTTTGAGGCAATTTCTGAAAGGGTTCGGCGATCCTTTCTCGTAACATGAACTACAGTGTGTGTTATTGTCTTTGGTCATCTTACCAGAATTGTTGGATGCACCTATGAAGCATTCTTCGTCATCAGTGGATGTCAAAGGGAGAAACTTCCCTTCTAACGTGTTACCTTTATGTTTCGATTTAATGTGGTTTTCCTGATGATTCATGGAATGTTGTGCAGTCCCACCACTACAATTGTCAGTCACCAGTGGTTCTACTGCAGATATGAATTCTACACTGTCGACAAAACATTCTTCTCTTGATATTGCTGTATCTTTGAAAGATGTTTCTGAAATGCCTGTGCCCGCTTGATGGTTGGTGTCATCTGTCATTTTCTTTCTGGTGCTTGGGACGGGTCTCAGGAGGCAGGCTGCAACACACATATTGGAGGCGATAGCGCCCAAGATAAGAAGACAGCCACTGAGTCTGTACTCCTGGATCAGCATCTGACATAGAGGACCTCCAGTACACATGCCCATACCAGCACCTGATACAGTCACACCAAACGCCAGACTTCGTTTTTTGACAAAATAATGGCCAGGAGCTACACCCGAGGAATTCAGCCCTAGTCCAACGCCAAACCCTGAAAAATCCAGGACAATAAATGAAGATCAAATGAAAGAACTAACGAGCGAACGAATACAACATGAACAAATACATCAGATCTCAGTGGCTTGTTTTTCTTGATATTGTTCCATGCTATGGAATCTTTCTCGCTCATTGAGAGTAATGGGTAATCAGCATGTAGGGAAATAGTTGTCTTGAAATCGACAATATAAAGGACAATGAATTACGAACAGACGGAATGAACGAGTCAACTAACAACCGAATATATACAGATTGAGGTAGAACAGTAGCTTGTTCTTTTTGTGTAGTTTTTCTGGCATTTTAATTAAATTCTTTAGCACATAGTTAAATTATTGGATAATTACAAAACGATACATCGATTACCTATACATATGTCAAATGTTGTTGTCTAAAATGTACTAAATTAATTTAGTATGGTAATAAGTAGTGCTACTGTACTTAAGACGATGGAACCGTTCTTCTTTGTATACCTATGCCCAAGCTTGTTGTGTAACAATCTGTGACCCTTCAACGTACTTTTAGCACCAGGATTACTGAAGCGTCAACTTGCTTTCCAAGAAATTTATTATTGACTATACATCTCGTGATCACCTCCAATAACTCCGTATGTTATGATGAGTCCGGTGACGTCATGAACAAAGGATGCTGCAGCGAGTCCCATCAGGATGAGTACTCCTCCCCCGAAACAGGCTAACCTGTAGCCCAGTTTCTTGGTGATCAGACCCGCCAAAGGACCTGGAGAATAGTTCACAGTGAATGCTTGGTTTTTGTTTGAATGTTTTTTCTCTTGGTTCGTTTTCACCCCGTTGCGTAAGAAGTGGTCAGGCTCGCTGATATGGTTGATAGATGTCATCGTATACCAACTCCGAACATCGATGCTTATAATGTCAATCACTAGATTGTTTGTTCCAGACTTGGTTATTTTGATTATACTATCTTGATTAGCCAGTGATGAGAGGCGTTTAACAACAAAGAAACAAAGAGTGCTTACTCACATAAGCCAAAGAAATACTGAAGCAAGGAGAATTGTGATTATGGAGTTACAGTTGTAATCGGAAATTAATTGCGAATATAAGTAAACTTTCAACGAAAATGTCGAAAATGATTTCTTAATGATAAAGGCGGGATAAGATCAGCGTATCTGAAAAAAAAGAGTTAATAAAATGCATTCCATGTAAAATGGAGTGGGTGACGAATTCAAAGACACATCAACAGTACTTAGTGAGTGAGTCGGTGAGTTTAGTTTTACGCCGCTTTTAGCAATATTACAGCATTATCACTGCGTGGACACCAGAAATGGGATCCGCACATTGTATCCATGTAGGGAATCAACCCGGGCCTTCGTCGTGACTAGGGGGCGGTTGGGTAGCCTAGTGGTTAAAGCGTTCGCTCTTCACGCCGAAGACCCGAGTTCGATTCCCCACATGGGTAAAATGTGTAAAGCCCATTTCTGGTGTCCCCCGCCGCCCTGATATTGCTGGAATAATGCTTACAGCGGCGTAAAACTAAAACTCACTCACTCACTCACTTACTCGTCGTGACTAGCGAACTAGAAGAAGTTAATTCGAATCATTTTGTTTCATCAAACTAACTATCTTTAAGAACCTACAGCGGCCGGAGATGACCTTGTATAAAATGCATTTAGGTCCACAAGGAAGCTAGACCTACAGTGTATTTTAAAAGTATCTTATTAATCATACCCATGAAGGTGAAGGTCCCTAGCATTGTCGAGCCAACCCATGACGTCCGCGAGAGGTCGCTGTCAACTTCCTCCAAGATGGCGGTATTGATGACCCCAGTCGAATACACCATCATCCCACAGATGAACATCGCACAGAATGAGGCGAACAGAACGACCCAGGCATATCCACGGTCTACATCATGTGTTGGCTTCATTCTGACACGTGAAAGCGGGGAAACATTTCATGACGTTTGCATACACAACTGCATTTTAGTTTGATAGTTTAAAATACCATGCTATCACGCCCTTCTGTCCACGCAGTAAACACTAGACGTATATGTGGGAAGAACACTTGTGAACTAAAATATACTAAATTGCAAAAGGTATACACAGCCTGCCCAAACAACAGACACCAGATTGGTACGTGGTCATTGTAAAACCTGTCATTCATGTTCTTCACCGTGTTTTTCTACATTATTTATCATGTGAAATGTGACCACCATTGCCTCCTACATACGAGATACTAAAAACGACAATTCTCCTTTGGATAATCCTATAGAGTCACTAATTAAAGGAGATGCATGTCCAAGCGTTATTCAAAATAGAAGATAGTACATACGTAGACGATACTTTTATCTATCTTGAAGATTATTTCCTTTGTGTGAAAGATACTCTCTTCTTCGGAGAAGATACTTTCATGTCCTTAATATATGACATTATAATGGTGACGTTACTGAGACTTACGATTCTAGTTGGGTATAGTTTAAGCATGCGTTAGATATAGATTTTTCAAATATGTGTGTGTGTGTGTGTGTGTGTGTGTGTATGCGTGCGTATGTGTGCATGTGAGGGAGAGAGACTTTCATGGTTTTCATTTGGCCTTTTCTGTATTTTATTTTTACAATTATAATCGTTTCAAAGTATCAGCGTTATGGTGAAAAAAAGCCGAGCCCGAATAAATTGATCTAAGTACATGTAAGTATAATTTATGTATAGAGAAATATCGTGTACATAGTTGAAAGTATCATCTACCCAGATGCAGTATTTTCCCCGTGGATAAAAGTATCTCCTAAGTAGATGTTAGTACCGTTCACGTAGATGTAAGTGGATGTATATGTCGATATACAGTGGTATTAATGTGCTTCCGTACACTCTCGATATATTCGAAGACAATAACAAAGTCTATTTCACCTAAATCCACTGCGTTCTATCTCGCCAATACGATTATTGAGATTCATAAACCATGTCGCCATACACACTATATTTCACTATTGTCGACACATACACATTCAGAGTCAGACACTATCCCGCCAGGTAGATGCTATAATCCCCCAGCCTGAGACCTCTGTTTACAGAGACTCAACCACTATGATGCAGGGACGGATAATACGATGTGCCGTTGAGACTGACATCCAATGATCGAGGGAAAAATACCAGCGCCTTGAGCATGCACTAGTTGCCTGGATATGTGCGCTTTATAAATATCCTACAATCATAAAATAAAAAAATAACATATATGCACATAGAACATCCTTATTACAATATGAACGAAGTTTTCTGCTTGGTAACGGTGTCAGAACCAACACCAAAACGTCCCACCTATTGCAATGAGGTTATGCTACCGTACATCTAATACTTCCTTGTACTCCTACTTCTAAATGCCTCTCAAAGAAGTCACTACACTGAAAAAGTACGAACTTTGCCACCTGACGTAGGTCCCTTCTCAGTAGCAGCTGCCGTCTCGCCCCCTACCCACTATTCACCTGCATTGGAAACTGACTCACCTCCGATTCAATCTCGTTCTCCCCGTGCACATTGACATTCAACAATAACGTCCCTTCACAGATAGTCAGCCGCTGTCTTGTCGACGAACACACGCCTGCTACTCAATACACTACACCTTGTGGATCCCCTTGGGTGATTCCATGTTATTTATGTAGTCATCCATTTGAACACCACATCTCTGTTTCAGATAACAACAAACAAATCGTGTGTACATTCGAATATCATAACTAAATCTTGCGATTCAACAAACATCTTCATCGTGTGAAATGTGAAGCTAAAAGTATAGACCAACCTTTAGCAGTGACCCACTTGTCTTTCAACCATGACGTTGTGAACACGCCAGTCCTACACATTCCATGTGACACAGCTAAGACTTCCACCCGATTTATCCTCGCCGACTGGGTATCCACCCGATTTATCCTCGCCGCCTCGGTATTCTGGACTTCTGGCAAGTCTTCACATGTATTATGATTTATCCATAAGTATTCACGAGCCCAAGTGTCGGTTTAATAAACTAACTACACCTCTACTGTATGTATGGCATTCATTGCAAACAAATGACTGGCGTCATCGGTAAATCGAGACTTGGTATTATTAGACATTGACGTGGATATGTTTACGCTTCAATGCCCTTTATTCCAGGTTCCATGGTCGGTAGGGTAGCCCGATGGTTACAGCGTTCGCTTGTCTCGTTTAAGACCCGGGTTCGATTCCCTACATGGATACAATGTGTGAAACCCATATCTGGTGTACCCCGCTCAGTCCAGTGATCGTGCCTGTGAGAGGTGAATGGAACAAAGGAAACAATTGACACACAGAATCGTTTCTTTCTTTTCATTGTTTAATCATCAATATTCCCGCTATGCGCTCTCTCCAGCTTCAGAGATCGTGTTTGTGAGAGGTGACTCGAACAAAGGAAACACTCTTAACGTATAACATAGGATTGTGTATGGACTACCACTACGTATTTTGGAACAACATACAAACAATTCTTACGCTAAAGAGTAATATTTCTTTTGTATTCCTTATCTGATTTCTTTTGTAGAGAAAAGAAACAACGTGATTTGAGGTCATTTCATAATTGTTTTATAAATTGAATTGTTAACTGTTAATCATGTCATACATTTCGACCTACGGTGTCCTTGCTAGGTAAAGGCATTGGTAGTAGGGGTTGTCATGGAGGAGCAGCCTCTCGACTGTCACTTCCTTGAACGTCAGCTCATATGTTGTGGCAATCCTTGTCAATCCTTTCAAAGACACATCCACAGCCTATTTTACTTCATGTGGTGCCTGAACACCTTGCATCTGTTGCCTGTGCTTCCCAAATATTGCCACAAGGGCACCAAAGAATGCCGCAAGTAGCAGAAGTAATCCTAAAAAACAACAGTCAGCTTTGTACATGTATAATCAAGTTGAAAATGATACATAAAATACCTACCATTTCATTGCCCTAAAATGCGTTTGAATAATCATAGCTGTTTGGTTGGCAGTTCAAGGAAGTGATTTGTGTGAAAAACATTATTCATGTCGCACGAACAGTTAATAACAATTTTAAGATCTTGAATACCATGTTATAGTGAAAAGAAAATCTCCAAACACTGTCATAATATATTAAGTGTAATTATCTTTGTGCAAATTAACAGGCCATACGTTAACATATTCCAAACCATGAGACTCACACGAAACAGTATATATATTGGAATTGTCACGATGCTTTTTAATAAATGTATTTCAACAGACACTTAGCTTCTTCATGAATAGATAATGAGTCTACCAAATTAAAATTAGCCCATCCAAGTTAAGCTCAAATATAGCATATCTAACTACTTGTTCAGACGCCGCAAGATAGCTGCCGCATGAACTACAAATAGGCTGGAACAAACAGCACCATTTACTGGCAAATGAATGAACAAGGGACAACAACAACAATATTCCAGCTTTATGGCGGCGGTCTGTAAATAGTGAGTTAGTGAGTTTAGTTATACGCCCACACAGCAATATTCCAGCTTTATGACGGCGGTCTGTAAATAACCAAGTCTGGACCAGACCATCGAGTGATCAACAGCATAAGCATCGATCTGCGCAATTGGAAACCGATGACATGTGTCAACCAAGTCAGCAAGCCTGACCACCCGATCCCGTCCGTCGCCTCTTACGACAAGCATGGGTTACTGAAGATCAATATTCTGTAAATAATCGAGTCTGGACCAGTGATTGACACCATGAGCATCTATATACGCAGATGGGATACTATGATCCAGCGATTCTGATCACCCGCTCCCGTAAATCCGCTCTTACGACAAGCATGGGGTGCTGGATGTCAGGATCTTGATTTGTATGTGTTTAATGAAGTGGACAAAGGAAGACTGAACTTTGACAGACCTACCTCGTTTTCGTGGAAGCTATTTGGTTCCAGGATATGATGTACATGTAAGTTGTGATCTGCACGTACATGAACTAACAAGGGAGGACTGTTATTCACTAAATTTCCAAAAGTACCATAAACTGCTGCCAACAGCTTTCAATTCTCCCAAACTTTCAACACCTCCCTAAACTGAAGGACAACGTTCCAGATATTGTGAAGCCTGGGAATATCATCTCTCGAAGCTTTCTAAACATAGTATTATAAATTCCTTGTTTTCTTAATAGATTTTAAAAACTGTTTGGAAAGAACTTTATGTCTTTAGTGTATTGATCTCACCTGCAAATACGAACGTGAAGTCGTAACACCTTGTCGCTGAATATATGAAACCTGAAATACAGAATTTATTCGAAGATAGTGCCAATCGAAATGGTTATTCATTTTGGAAAAATGCGTTAATAAGAACATATCCTCTGGTAACCGATCAGCTATTTTTCAGAGGAAGTCCCACGTTATCATTACTCGTTTATGACTGCCGTTCATTTTCCTACCTTGAGTAACAAATTGAAAACATATTCAAAGTGAAATTTAACATTCGAAATATATAGGTTCAATTAAAGACATTTCTCAATATTTAGAGTACTCTTCTTTGCAAGAATTATTGCAAAGAATTATCAAGAATTCATAAAACATACAATTAGCGAGAAATTTAACGGTATACCAACTTGCAATAGGAGGGCCAGCGAAGAAACCAATTCCACAAAAGAAGTTTTCGATCCCTACTCCAACAGCTAAATGCTTCAAACCCACAAGCTCTATCGTTATTGGGCTGACAAGAGAGTTAGGGCCGCCACTATACATCCCATATGCAGCACTAAATGTCATCTGAAGAACGTAGGAGTTTGAGAAAAGTGGAAAACACAGTGTTAGGAGTCCAGAGATTCCCAGAAGTCCCATGTGAAGTGTCATGTAATCCACCGAGACATCATTTCCTGCAAACCCTGTCAGGAGTCTTGAACTAAGACTTGTCACTCCATGACCGTAAAAGACTAGCTGCTTGAGTTTCTGTACTGCCTTTATGTTCGGCATAGTTGGGAAGGTGGAACAGACATGCTCCTTCCCCGAGTGCCCAGAACAGATAACTGACACAATAGCTCATGAAACCATATTTGTTTAGTATAGTTATTCTTCTAATCCGTTTGAGGCAATTTCGGAAAGGATCAGGTGATTTTTCCTCATAAACCGAACTATTGTGTGAACGATATTCTTTGGATTCCATGCCCATGTGGTTACGCTGGTCAAGGAAGCCTTCATCCTCATTACTTGAAGTGAACAGCTCATTCCGATGTAACACATTTTACATTATGTCCAACTCTGATTTGTTTTTCCCGATAGTTCGTGGAATGTTGAACTGCACCACCACTATTACTACAATTGTCCAACATCAATGGTTTTATTACAGATGCGACACTATCAACACTGTCGACACTATCAACACGCATTTTTTTGCTTTGATATAGCTGACTCGTTGAAGAATGTTTCTGATATGCCAGTGTCCGCTTCATGTTTGGTTTCTATGATAATCTCCTGCTTGGTGCTTGGTGCGGGTCTGAGGAGGCAGGCTGCAACACACATATTGGAGGCGATGGCGCCTAAGATGAGAAGACAGCCACTTAAACCGTACTCCTCGACCAGTATCTGACATAGAGGACCTCCTGCAAACATGCCCATACCAGCACCTGATACAGTCACGCCAAACGCCAGACCTCGTTTTTTGATAAAGTAATGGCCAGGAGCTACGCCAGCGGAATTCAGCCCCAGACCAACGCCAAACCCTGAAAAATCCAGGACAATAAATGAAGATCAAATGAAAGAACTAACGAGCGAACGGATACAACATGAACAAATACATCAGATCTCAATGGCTTGTTTTTCCTGATATTGTTCCATGCTATGGAATCTTTCTCGCACATTGAGAGTAATGGGTAATCAGCATGTAGGGAAATAGTTGTCTTGAAATCGACAAAATAATGATGCACATAAAATGATTATTACAATTTGATGCACTGCTGTTTTCTGTGGATTGACCTATCCAGTGAAATGTTGCTTCATTGAAAAAGCGTGTAATTGTTCAACATATTTGGAGCTGAATTTCTAACACATCAGTATGCATGCTATGGTGGTTAGTACTTCCTACGATCACCTGCAATGACTCCATATGTAATGATGAGTCCAGTAACGTCATGAACAAACGATGCCGCAGCGAGTCCCAGCAAAATTAGCATTCCTCCTCCGAAACAGGACAGCCTGCAGCCGAGTTTCTTTGTGATCAGACCCGCCAGGGGACCTGGAAAATGGTTCACGTTGTGTATGTCCTTCACACTGAATGCCTGGTGTCTGCTTGGACGTGTATTCATTGTGTGAAGAACTGAGTCAGGGTGGGAGGGTATTGTGACCCTGTTACATCGAAAAATATATTGTCCCAGGAATTGTTTAAAAAATAATTGTCCTTCAGACTGTTGAAAATAGACTAATCTGACCCTATTTGTATATGTGTTGCCTCTGTGTATTTATTTAAAGAACATATTCTGCGGCTCAAATCTATTAATGTTAGTCCCCAATGACAAATATCCTGAATCTGTACTTTGAAAATAATTATGTACATGGATGTCAGTTTGTCATTTGATATTTCAGCTATATGACGGCGGTCTGTGAGTGAGTGAGGGAAGTGAAATTTAACGTCACATCGGCAATATTGCAGCCATATCGTGACGAGGAGTAGAATAAGAAATAAAGCCGTAATAAATATAGTTAAATAATAAAACCCTGTCAACGAAGGACAGTAAAATAAGTAGAGCATCACAGGTGAAGATATAAAACTAGTATGAAAAACTAAAAACTTTTAACTATAGAAGACAATACAATATAAAACAGGCTATTGCCAACAACTGAAGGTAGACCAGCATACTGGGGACCATGGTGACTTACAGTGCATTTTCTTCCTGCATGGGCCCTGGGACGGCGGTCTATAAATATTAAACTCTGAATCAGAGAATCAAGTGATTGATGCCATAAATATCGATCAATGCAATTGGGATACGATGGCATGCATCAACCAAGTCACCGAACCTGACCACCCGATCCGGTTAATCACCTCTTACGGCAAACATGGGTTGCTGAAAACCAATCATTCTTAGGCGGGTCCTCACAGGTACGAGAAGCCAAGCTAACGGTATATTTGGCAACATGTATGTTACATTCTCTTAACCATACCCAATGAAGGTGAAGGTCCCCAGTAGTGTCGAGCCAACCCATGACGTCCGTGAGAGGTCGCTGTCAACTTCTTTCAAGATTGCGGTGTTCATCACCCCAGTGGAGTACACCAACACCCCACAGATGAACATCACACAGTACGAGGCCAGCAGAATGACATAGGCATATCCACGGTCTACGTCGTGTGTTGTCTTCATTCTGTCGACCGACAATAAAAATAAAATTAGTGACACACCCAACAACAACGTTTGCCTATTGGGATGGATCGTCAAAACGGAGTATAACTTACTCCCAATGTTTCACGAACCTGGCACATTCATTTACCGCCAGTCAGCCACTCTTTCTCACATTTTCCCGCCTTTACTGGATACATGCTTACCCCGGAATCAAACACTTCCCGCCCACATCTGCTGCCTTTCACCCAGCAGATCTGTTCATTTTACACTTACTCAGGTTCAACAATTACCTCGACACTTAGACACTGTCCCAAATCCGTCTTATAAACCAAACTGACTCAGTTTCATCCACTATCTCGCCACGTAGCCACAGTCTTCAATCTGCCGTAGACTCTTTACTGACTCAGTTTCATCCACTATCTCGACACATACACACTCTCTCTAATCTGCTTAGAAACCTTTTGAGTGTCGTGTTCAAAATATGGAACAAAAGGCAATGATTCCAATGGGGATTTATTTTGCATCTTTTGGTGTCACTGGTATTTGATATGCCCTCCACCTGTCTACCATAAAGCAATTTAAAAACTTTACTGGGGTCTTGAATGCTGTAACTTGATCAAACAAACTTTGTAAATGGGTTTTAGACACACCATGACACAACATAAAAACTGCTCAAAACACTCACATACACTTGATAGTCTCACTTCCTCACTGACAGAGCCATTTAAACAATTGCCTGGCAAATCCCCTTGTCGATGTTTCCTGTAACTGTGTGGCGTACAGAACGACGTTCACCTAGTCGTCCTCAAGTTAAATGTGGAATAAAACAGACTAACCTTTATCAGTGACCCAGATGGTGATCAGCTACGTGTCTCGGTGAATACACCCAAATCGCTTATCACTGTGAAAGGTGATCATGTATATTGCCAAGTACGAGGTAATGTTTGCACATTATCGAGGTACACAGTTTGGTCCGTATCACACACTCATCAAACACAAGCTCACTTGAACACAGTGACACTGTCATACAGTCGTGCAGTCACTTTTTTGTCATGGACTGTAATAGCATGTTCCGTTAATATGAATGAATGAAAAAATGAACTGCGGGTAGCACACGCAAGGGCTGAAACTTCAAACGTTTCAAAACAGCCTGGACCTCTCCAGCTGTGCATTAAATGAATGGCAAACTGTGTGGAGTTAAGCAAAGAATGACAATGTAGGCTTGCGAATAGCTGTTACACTGGTCTTTAAGTGGGTGTGCAAATATGGCTTAATGTCGCCTTTTGTTTGTAAGTTCAACGCTCGTGATAATGTTAGGTATCATCAGCTGGATGCAGGTCGCAGATGTCACCATCTAGTTGAAACACACTGACAATACACATAATACGAGGCAGGTTCCAGACACGTTACTGTTAGAGCCCGTCAGTTAGCCCTGTACGAGGATTGTAAATTTAGGTCAACGACACCGTCGATTTTCTATTTGTTTTCTGCCTAGAATAATTCCTGTGTGTATTAAATTTAGCATATGAGAAAAGAAATAGAGCAAGCTGTATTCCTTAAATTGATTTAATTTAAGGACCATGACCAAGTGACCTTAATTGAAAAGTGAGTAAAATAATTTGCACAACTGTCTAAAATATTTTTACAACTTCCGTATTTATTTATTTTCGACAGTCCAGTCTCTTCTGTGTACTGGTTGAGGATGTATATAATAAGCACACTTTACACACACATTGTATTCGGACACCCTGACCGCGTTCAAAATATATACAATGGAGGGAATGTATTTATCAAGCAAAAAAAACCAAACGCCTCAAGAATACAAATAACATTAGTTTGTATATTGTATGAGATATCAAACGTTCTTTAGGGATGTAATTAAATGTGTACACACTTTAGAACAATACGTTTCAGGATTAAATGTTGATGACGACATTAATACAAACAGATAGCTTAAATGTGGGACGATTACACAATGACATTTAGAAAGAGGTCAAATGTAACATATGTTATATTTGGGATAACACTTTCTTAGTAAAGTACAAATTCTAGTACTTTTTGGAGTTGAGTTGAGTTGAGCCCCATCCCATCCGGGATTCGAACTCACACCTTAGGCGTCTGACTTTGTGTGCTGGTGATTAGGTGCCTGACTCTGAGGGTGTGATTTCGAATCCCAGATGGGATGGGGCTCAACTCAAAAAGTCCTAGAATTTGTACTTTACTAAGAAAGTGTAATCCCAAATTGGGACAAGTAAATTTCATGAACATGTGTGTTATATTTATAAAGATAAAATGTGTCAAAATTATAAATGTTAGTAATTATCTGAATTTTGTTTCCAGTTCGAGATTAAGAATAATGACAATTATTATGGATATACAACTTCTTTTATTCTGTGGAGGCGTCATTATGCTTCATCAACTCAACTTCTAAAATGCCCATCAAAGAAGCAGTTCCAGATTGCAATGTCTCGCCAACTCACAACGCTCGTAAAATGTAACCGTACAAATTTCGGCGTCATCAAGCTGCTAGCGAATGTTCAAATCTCTGAAATTGACGTCATGAACAGTATATTTCAAAATGAAATAAAACACTCCTCATTTTCAATTGCTCTTCACTTTTAACCTTGCTATCTGATATGAACTATTTTGGCTTTAGCAAAGTGAGTGAGTTAAAGTTTATAGTCACAGCGGCATTACTGCAGCCATTTCGTGAGTAAAAATAGTTATTAATTCATGATAAATATATACTTTTTAAAACGTGTCAACGAAAGGACATTCTTTCGCAAAGACCTCGCACCGAACCCAACACAAATAATGAATGACCCGTACAGGCCTGATCCAGAACAGGAACAACACGTATAGTAGGTTAATCCTACATTAGACTTGGGGTCCAGCAATGCGAGTAATGAGTGTCAACGCGTGGTATATGCGTCGACTGGGGAATAAGCTCATGTTTAAGTTGAGGTGTACGTACAATACGTTGACAAGACGAAGGAATACGTCGAGTTCAAACTTCTTTAGTTACATGACAAACAAATACACTGGACATAAATGTGGTGAGCGGAGTACCTGCTCAACCCCAGGACGTTTCCTACGAGCGGCATTATCCTGCTTGTGGTCGTCCCAACATAGCCAGTCGGAATACCAGACTCGTACTCCTTCACAGTATAGATGTGGGCATACTAAGTATATATACAGTTTTGACAACAATGGACAGGCGACGACTCAACAATGGACAGATAGAAAAACAATAGCACTTCCTTGACCAGTTGATGTGATTGCAGACACGGCCAAGGGGATGACCAATAAAGGTTATAAATGTCATATACAGTAATTAATTGCCTGACAAGTCAATGTACAATGCGGAATACAATGGAATACAGACTAGCATCATATAAATAATTACAATAAAGTCTCACATGTCTTGAGTTTTTACATTTTAAATATTTGGACGATGGCTGTCCTGAATTAGTCCCTATAACAGGAGGTCATATTATTTCCGTTTGCCATCTGTATGTTCAGCGCGCTGGTTATAGAATAATTGCAGTCAGATATTACGCACACGATCACGCGAGATCAACAAAGCGATATATTCAGTGAGAAAGGGAGAATACTGAGTATGAGTGAGCGAATTTCTTTAACGGCGCCTTCAACAGTACTTCCGTTTGACAGTTTTACTGATGTCTTCGGTGAAATCTACGAAATGTGTTATGATGGTGGAATACTAAAACCAGAATCACAGAGAAGTGGGATTCGATCCACAGTTATACGTGTCTGCCACGTATTCTTTCGATTTCTTAAACTGGCCACAATTGCATATCATCTGGACTTTTTTAATGATGACTTACCTGTGATTAACTTTTTCCAAGGTCAGTTGTAAAACATGAACGAACCCATGTCGTTTGCCCTGCCTATAGTGTATCAACGACAGCATCGGATGTTGTACAATACTTGTGTATAATGTATTCTGTACTATGACCCGTCTGTCAGCCGCATTTCCTTTCCCTTCGTGTTTAGATGAATGCACTAGTGACTCAGCCAGCTCACTGTCGTGTGACCAAATTATTCACGTCAACAACAAAATGCTTCGGGACGACATATGAAACTGTCTCAATTGTCTTGCTAGAGGAACATTTTTCTGACTTATTTTTATCGTTCATTTGGAGAACGGCTGTACTTATACACTGCAGTTATACCTTACCTATTTCACATATGAAATGAGACGCTATGTCGGATTGTCATAATCGTTGTTTAACAAATCTTCCTATAGATGTATGTATCCTATGCATAGTAACCAGTTGCGTAGATCGATGGTCATGCTGTTGATCACTGGATTGTCGGGTCCAGACTTGATTACTTACAGACCACCGCCATATAGCAGGAATATTGCTGAGTGCGGCGTAAAACAACAACCCCACGTCAAATCTCTGTAATACCACACCCCTCACTCTTCCGTCGTAAAATGAGCATGGTATTGGATTTTGTATCAGAGAAAAAAACCTGCCAAAAGCTATGTCCACATATAATCCATCTTTAAGATGTGGATCTGTTGCGATTTAGGAATGGAATCTGTTGGTATATGACGAGATGGTGTCCACATGATTACTTGCAAAAAACCTAGTTGCGGGTACATCAACGTGCAGTAAACTTGGACAAAAGTACTGTGACTATCGTCCCAGTCCACCCATCTGTGAATGGGTACCTCGTTAGGATGAGAAAGTCACATTAACTTGGTGCGCCTTGGTACTCCCCAGGAGTTGAGATCGATAATACGATGTGCCGTTGAGATTGACATCCAATAATCGAGGGAAAAAATATCAGCGCCTTGAGCAAGCACAGGTTGCGTGGATATGTGCGCTATATAAATATGTTATAATAATGATAATAATAACATATGCCTTCAGGACATGCATACATCAGGTCGGAGTGCCTGTTCACCCGACGCCATTAGTCAATACCTGCCGTGCCTTTGCTGAAGATCAATTCTACCCTCGACTCCTGCAGGAACAAGCCAAGAATGATTGAGATACCCGTGTCGATTTGAGGACAATGCTGGGGGCTTAACAACAGGAGACAGTAGATACTCAGGTGTTTACCTTGGTCACGGTTGATAGCTGGGCACTCCTGATGGCAATGACCTCCCGTAGGTTCGTCGTGTCCCTCCTAATGCAGCTTAACATCCATAATTGTACATCCTTTATGTTATCATCTGGATGCTCCGTAGAAGTCAGTGTTAACACGTGGATGGATCTCAGGATCTCTATTCGGTCTCTGACCACGCCATAATGTTGACATGCATGGTTGGATATGGAAGCGGCGTAATCGTTTGGAATGCACTGGATAACTAACAAAGCGGAAAGAAGTGATGCAATATACTTCAGAGTGACAGCTGTTGCATGACGTCAAACAGTAAATCTTTCATGTTTGCAGTTAAAAACTTTAAATTATGCAACGATCTTCCAACAATGGAATTAAATTTATGTATACTATATATCCCATGCTCTTGTACCACCGTGGGTGGTTAAAGAGAGTAAAGATTGATTGATTGATCAATCATTTATGTTGACTAATTATTTCAGGTTTCTCCCGGTTAATCTTGTGAAAAAATATGTCGTCAAGTCTGGACGGCGGGTTCCCACGGTTCAAGCTCATAACGCCGACCTTTCGACCAAACTTTACGGTAGAGTGAAATATAAAGGTCGACGTCCTGAGACTAGTTTCATTTTGCTAATTAATAATGGATTCGAGGACAATGCAGGATCAAAGAGTTGTTAGAGGAGGATGAGAGCGCACCTAATGAGAAGATGACAACAGATGACAGATTTTTATCAGTTGACAGTTTTTAGCATTTTTAATAAATACATCGTAAATTCATATAGCATACATTTTTCACAGATTTTAACCTAAATGCAATAGGTGGGGTGCTGAATCAGCAAACTGCCTCACGGACAGTGTTCCTTGTTCAAGCCGGTGACAAATGTCATCCAGTCGTCGCTCAAATCCCTGTATTTCCTCTTCTTGGACGGACGCTTCTGGCCAGCAGCATACTGAACCAGCTTGTTTTCGGTGTTGGTCTGTTCTCGAGACAGGAACGACACAATCTCGAAAATGTTTGGATGAGCCTTGCCGACGTATTTCTTCAGGCGTGAATGCCACCCTTCTAGGTGGTTGTTTGTTCTTGGCCCATCTGTGTTGTGGTGGTTCCATTGCGTCGTGTGCAGACCTCCCTCCACCCAGAAGTTGGTCATGTAGTCTCCGAGTTGTCGGCAGCGGTCTTCATCAGTCTTTTGCAGTACATATCCAAGATATCCAGTCTCGTTTTCTCTTGCTGACTCTGCACATGAACCCGCCAACAACCAAGTAACGACTGCCGCGAGCTGTAGGGATGAATCTCTGATCTAGCTGTGCATTTGCCATTTCGAAATAGAATGTGAATCCTTTGGCCATTCCATAGATATTTCTACCAAAGATATGAACAATGTTCAATATTGGCACTCTACTAAGTGTTATTGTAAACTTTTCAATCAATTGGAAGTGACATGTGCGACGAGTTCACCTTATCAAAACATCTAGAGTAGATTATCCGCAACGCTAACTAAGCCTAATCAGAACCTAACCTTCAAAGGAAACCGCAGGTCGGCGTCCTGAGACTAGTGGAAAATCGAAAGGTCGGCGTCCTGAGACGACACCGTTCCCACTTTGCCGGACGCTTTTGTTCGGAATAAAAATCGCTGATGCGCGATAATCCCTATAACAATAGGGGATTAAGTTATAGTCTGTTTCGATCTAACAAACGGTATAACACACTACACTTCAGCTAGAGACAAGATCCCTTTTGTGCTCTTAACCCTAAACTTGTCACCAAGATAGATTAAGTGTCTACCTCCTCTTGAATTCGGAATGAATTCAATGTTAACTTGTGCGTTTGCCATTTTGCAATTACGGAATCATGTCTACCGTGTTTATATACAGGCAGAAATAGCCCTTGGAATAAGGTTCACTCAATTTAATATAATTCGTGTTCAGTCAGTCAAATTAGTTACTGAAATCGAGTTCCTCCAAACAAATTGATGCTTAGTAATAATGAGTTCGAACTCAGCTGCCAAACTCTGCTGTCCCCAAATGAGACTACAGGTGACAATTACTCACTGAAAACAGACTATAGCCGGCAAACCAGCGGACCGTTACTCTTAATCCGTTATCATCACATCAGCTGTCCGGCAAAGTGGGGTATGACCGTCTGGACCACGGCGTCAAGTGAGGCTTTAATTACATTCGTGTTGTGTGTATAGGGCCCATGCCATTTGAATGGTATTCAGACTATGAACTCCTTCTGAATGGAACGGGAAACAAAAATGACGTCACGGACGATGGCTTGGCGTCTGAAGATGACGTGACACAGCCCGAGTTAGATGAGGAGATCAGTCTGGAAGAAATGAAGTCAGCTCTTATGAAAGCAAAGAGTGGGAAAGCACCGGGCGTGGACGAGATACCGACACAACTGCTGAAAGGGGAATTAACTGTGGGACTATTACACAAACTAATTAATGTATGTTTCAGATCAGCTAAAATCCCAAGAATGTGGTCGGAGGGTATTATCAATCCAATACCAAAATCATCGACGGTTGACAAGTTGGACCCACTAAACTACAGGGCGATAACTCTTGCCCCAGCTGTTTACAAGATGAAACCAACTTCATTAAATTGGGTTAACGAATCTTACAAGTTGAAGCTTAACTATACTGAGTCAAAAAAAGGAACTTCACATTCTTTCTTCAGGGCACTATAAAAGAACAAGAGATGGAGAGATTTTAAATTGTTATTATGTCATTGCTGAGATCTGTGTGATGTACTCGATACACTGACAGTGCCATAATCAGTTCCATTAGGCTATACCGCCGTTCCAAAACATGGGTATACAGAATGTCAAGTCACAAGAATAAATATGCGAAATTTCTTAGTTCAATATCGTGTATGGCCGCTCCGAGCATTCACCACTGCCAAACACCGTCTCCTCATCGACTGCCTGATGCTTGTGAACACGTGGTTGGGGATTCTGCGCCATTGCTCTTGCAAGACAGCGCCAAGTTCCTTCAAATTCTGAGGTTTGTTCCTAGGACCACGAAGCCTTCTCCCAAGTGCATCCCAAACGTGCTCTATTGGATTAAGGTCAGGGGACCTCGATGGCCAGTCCATGACGTTGATTCCAGCGTTTTGAAGGAAATTTCGTGTCAACATCGCGGTATGCGGCCGAGCATTATCATGCTGGAACTGTAGACCTGGGCCATGAGCCGCCATGAAAGGAACGAGTTCAGGGGTGAGCACCTGGTCGCGGTAAACAGCAGCTGTGAGGTTTCCACGGATGACCAGAAGTCGGGAACGGTTGTTCCCACAGAAAGCACCCCACACCATGCAACTGCCGCCCCCGAATCTATCCGAACAGCGTCAATATCGGCCCACGATATGGACGTCGAGAATGGAGATTGGCAGCCCGCAACCGATTTCGAATGGTCTGTGAGGACAGTCGACCTCTAAACATCTCAGCCCTGGTTCGTGTAGCCGGCAGAAATCTGTCACGTGGGTGACGTAGGACGATTTGACGGTCTTCTGCTCGTGACGTCACACGTGGACGACCCGACCTTGGGCGATCAGAAGTGGTGCCAGTTTGTTGTAGACGACCTCGCAAGTCATACACTGTACGACGGCTGCATCCCATTGTTCTTGCGACGTCAATAACTGATCTCTTCCCGCTTGCAAAGTTGCCTACTCTCAATGAACTAGGGGCTGTGGTTGAAGGATTTTCCAAACGGTGTTGATTCCCTAAAGTTATTGGTGCCATTGACGGTACTCATATTCCAATCTTTGGTACATCCTGTAATAGAGAAGCATTCATCAACAGGAAGGGTTACTCGAGCATGCAGTTACAG